TGCCTCGACTTACGAACCAGATCCGCGGCCATTTTCCGCCTGTTCCACGTGGTCTGCGGCCGTTTTTCTGCCCTGCCACATGGTCCGCGGCCATTTTCCGCCCCTGACACGTGGTCCGTGGGCATTTTTCTGCCCCTGATGCGTGGTCCGCAGACACCGGAACGGATTAACAGTAATTACATTGAACCTTATGGGAAAATTTGCCTCGTGTTGCGACCAATTCGAGTTGCAGACACCGGAACGGATTAACAGTAATTACATTGAACCTTATGGGAAAATTTGCCTCGTGTTGCGACCAATTCGAGTTGCAACCAGAGTCACGGAATAGATTAAATTCGTAACTCGAGGTTCCACTGTATGGACATTGTGGGTATGGACATTGAACAAGACTGTCCTTTTAGTACAAAATAAGAAACAAAACAGGAATATTAACTTTCCACTATGCCAGTGTACCTATTTTATTTTAACAGAAAAACCAAACCTTGAAAAAGCAGTAAAAGAAAAGGAAGCAAGCTTATACAGGGACACTGTCACACCCTCATGACCTTTGGAAATTGTTTTGTTTTTAAATGTAGCTCACTAACAATTTTATTTTTAAATTTTTTTTAGTGTCTTCGAGTCAGTTTTGACTCCTGGCAACTGCCTAGACAAGTCCCTGCAGTTTTCTTGGCAAGATTTCAGAAGTGGTTTGCAATTACCTCCTTCCTAGGGCTGAGAAACAGTGACTGGGCTAAAGTCACCCAACTGGCTTTGTGCCTAAGGCAGGACTAGAACTCACAGTCTCCTGGTTTCTAGCCTGGCGTCTTAACCACTACACCACACTGGCTGTCCCTGCCCTTGCCAGCCTTATATAGAAAATTGCCCAGTCCCTGGTAAACCAGCTTCATTGTATACTCAGAGCATGGAAAATGGGACACCTTGATGTGGTAGAGTGTTTAAGCAATATCAGGTGAAGATCAAGGAGGCTCTGTTTGAAGTCCACCTTCAACCGTGTAAGAGTGACTTCAGGCCAGGCACAATTTCTCAACCCAACTTATTCACAGGTTTGTTTTTAGTGGACAACAAATTGCAAAAGCATGTTCCTGGAGGGAAGGCAGGATATAAATCTACTGAATGGACATGTAAATACCTAAATAACTCAAGGACATACCAGCATTGTCTCACTGCTGCACCCATGGTACTTATGTTTCTTTGTTTTTTTTCTGTAATTTAATGTTTCTAATGGCTTTTTAAAAAAGAGGTTATAAAGCCAGCAGCATTACTAAGACAACCTGTCCTGTCTTTGCCCATGGTGGAAGTTTTCTGATCCAGCCAGTTTCTGAAATACCAAGGCCCTCCTTCCTTCTTAAATTAGCCATGTCTCCCCTGCTGCCTTAGAGTGTTGGATGTTCTAATGCTTCTAGAAAGGGAACCTTTCCTGACACTAACAATATTCTACCATGTGGCCCTCAGTACAGCACTGCCTTTGAAGTCCCCCCCCCACCCCTTTCTTTTGCACACACAGGGATTTTGC